TATATATATATATATATATATATATATATATATATATATATATATAATTTAAATTATATACAATAAATATATGTTTATAATATATAAATATTTAAATTATATATAAGCTTAGCTTATATATAGCCATAGATCCAATCCCCAGTGTTGCCCCAAAGCAAAAAAGAAACCCTGATTTGACATTGCATTAACAATAGTTTTGAGATTAAAAAAAAAATTATTTTATGTGTGTGGGTGTTCTGTCTGTGTGTATATCTTGCGCTTTGTACATGTCTGGAGCCTGCAGAGACCAGAATAGGGTGTCAGATCCCTTAAAACTGAAGGTTCAGACAGTTGTGCGCTGCCATGTGACTGCAGGGCATGAAATCGGTGCTCTTAACGACTGAGCCATCTCTCTAGTCCTACACTGACAAGTTTTTTTTTACATGAGCCTTGTCGAGGGGAAGGAGGATTTAAGACTTGCTGTTGCAACATGAATTCTCGGAAGCTTCATGCTTGGTGGTGGAACTTTGTTCCCCATGCTTGGGAGAGGGGAAGCTAAATAGCAGAACCTAACCTCACCTTTTATAAATCACAAATGTGTCAAAAACTTGATGTGAAAATTATAAGAACAAGAGAAGTAAACATAAGACCTAACTGAGAAGAGGGAGACTTCCCTAAAATGACAGCAAAAGGCCATACTGATGAAGGAGACTACAAAATCACACATCCAGCTGGAAAATGGCTCAGTGGGTAAAGACCCTTGCTGCCAACCCTGAAGACCTGAGTTTAATTCCTCAGACCTACATTGTGGAAGGAAAGAACTGATTTTTGCAAGTTGTCGTCAGACCTCCATGTGCACAATAAATAAATAAGTGTAATAAAAAAATAAAATTATGGGCTGGAGAGATGGCTCAGAGGTTAAGAGCAACGACTGCTCTTCTAGAGGTCCTGAGTTCAATTCCCAGCAACCACTTGATGGCTCACAAGCATCTATAATGATATCTGGTGCCCTCTTGCAGATACAACATTGTATGCATAGTAAATAAATCTTTAAAAAAAAAAAACCAAAATTATAAACTCCTCTGCAACATATTCACATACAAAAGAGGTAAAGTTGGTCTGTGGGTGGCCTTATTTATTTGTTTGTTTGTTTTGAGACTATGTCTCACTATATTGTCCTGCCTGTCCTGGACCTCATTAAGTAGACCAGGCTGGCCTTGAATTCACAGAGATTTGCCTGCCTCTGCCTTCATAGTACTGGGATTAAAGATGTACACCACCACCACTTGGCTGAATTTGCTTTTTTTTTTTTTTTTTTTTTTTTTTTTTTTTAAGATATATATGTATGTAAAAAGAGGTCCTGAGAAATGAGTTGGAGTTAGAGAACCTGCCTAGAATCCCCCAGTGTGGGGCTGGGGCCATGGCTTGGTGGTAAAGTATTTTCCTAACATACACAAGACTATGGGTTCAGTCTTCAATAATCACAGGGAGGAAAAAAGGAGATTAAAAAAGAAAGAAAGACAGTCACGGGAATTAAAGGAGGCAAAAAAGGAAGAAAAGGAGTGAAGAAATCTCTGGATACATCTTTTAACTCAATAGCTGGCATTTGTCCTTCAGCAGTTGGCAGGAAGATCTGCTTGGTGCGATGGGTCTGATTGGAGAAGTAGCTGGTTGAAGTGGTCAGCCCGTTCTTCTGTGAAAGACACAGGGACCAGACAGAGCTCCGCCACACAGCAGGGGAAGTGGCCGCCTCCACCCATGGTTCTCAGAAGCTTAGCACGGAGCACTAAGTCAGCGGTGCTGGCCTGACCTTTCTCTCTGTGCGGGTGGCACGGGGAGGGAGACCAGGTCTTGCTATATAGTCTCGGCTGGCTTCCAACGTGTAGCAATCCTCCTGCCTCTGCCTGAGTGGTGTCTGGTTAGTGGTAGCCAAATATCCTGTAAAGGCGTTGCCTGTCCTCAGTTACTCATAACTACAGTGTTGTAAGCCTCTGATCCACACAATCCCTGATAGAAGAGGATTTCCATGAGTTCCAAACCACCCTGGCCTACAGAATAAAACTATTAAAAAAAAAAAAAAAAAGGTTGGAGAGATGGCTCAGCTGGCAAGAGCATTATTGCTCTTCCAGAAAATTTGGTTCCAGGTTTGATTCCAAGAACCCACATGGTGCCTCACAGCAACCTAAAATTACAGTTTCAGGAGAGCCAATGACCTCTTCTAGCTTCTGTGATCACCAGGCATGTGCACAGTGCACGCACATACATGCAGGGTTTCTCTGTGTAGCCTTGGCTGTCCTGGAACTCATTTTGTAGACCAGGCTGGCTTCCAACTCACAGATATCTGCCTGCCTCTGCCTCCCGAGGGCTGGGATTAAAGGTGTGCACCACCGCACCTGGCCTATGGTGCATTTTTTTGATGTGGGAGGTCCCAGCTCTCTGTTGGCAATGCCACCCCAGTTGAGCAAACCAAGGGGAGCAAGCGGTGGTCGTCCAAGGCTTTTGCTTCAGTTGAATGACAGACATTGTGAAGAGAATGAACATAAGCTACACACTGGGAGAAAATATTTGCACAAGTCTGATTAAGAACTTACAAACAGGGCTGGAGGGATGGCTCAGAGGTCAGGTGCACTGCCTGCTCTTCTAGAGGTCATGAGTTAATTCCCAACAACCCCATGGTGGCTCATAACCATCTATAATGAGACCTGTTGCCCTCTTCTGGCCTGCAGGCATACATGCAGGTAGAACACTGTATACATAAATAAATAAATCTTAAAAAAAGAATGCCTTAACAACTCTATAGGCCACCTTTAATCACAGCAGAGATTGAGCATCAGGCAGACAGATGTCTGTGAGTTCAATGCCAGGTTGGTCTACACAGAATTCCAGGCCAGCCAGGGCTACACAGTGAGACCCTGTTGAAGAAGAGGAGGAAGAGGAGAAGGACCTAGAATCATTGAGGTGACATTCTCTGGGAAATGTTTCCTCAGGTTCAACACACAGAAGCTGTGGTCAGAAGGGAGCTAAGGCTGGCTGTACCTGTGCTGGCAACCAAACTTGGCAATCTGTAAGAGTTTCCAAGGTGGTACTGGTTTTGAAGGTATGAAGGAGTTGTGGAAAGCAGCTGAGGCTTGGCACTGTGAAGTCATTGGTGAAAATGCACCCCAGCTGCAGAGACCCTGCATTTTGAAGATGCTAACACCATCTGCTGGAGCCTAGGAGGTGAGCTGTGTGTGCTGTGGCGAAACCTCTGAGCCTCCGTTCTGTGTCCCACAGGTCTGACACGGTTTTGCCTGCACATCTGAGTGAGAGTGTCAGATCCCCTGGAACAGGAGTTACAAACAATTGTGAGCTGCCATGTGGGTGCTGGGAATTGAACTCTAGTCCTCCGGAAGAGCTGTCAGTGCTCTTAACCACTGAGCTATCTCTCCAGCCCCCGACTTTGAACTTCTAAAGACACTTTGGAATTTTAGAGAGACTGTGAGCATTTTAGAGACTGATTATTTTAGAGAGGTTTGAACTTTGAAAGACTTTGGATAGATAAAAAGACTGAACTTTTAAAGAGTTTGAGTTTTTAAAGATTATGGGACTTTTAAATGTCAGACTGTTTTATTTTGTGATATTAATATGAGATCTTGGTGTGAACAAAAAAGGAAAAATTATGGTTTAACACTTTGTTTTTGTGACAAATTGTCAAGGACTCAGTTGTGCTGGCTAGTTATACTTGACCTAGTTTGGAAGAAAGAACCTCAGCTGAGAAAATACCCCACTAGATTGCCCTGTGGACAAGCCTGTGGTGCATTTTCTTGACTAATGGTTAATGTGGGTGAATCCAGCTCCTGTGCCAAGTGCCATCCCTGGTTATGTGGTCTCGGGATGTACAAGAAAGCTGCTGGTGGCACTCGCCTTTCACCCCAGCACTCGGGACAGCCCCATCTAGAGAGCGAGTCCAGGGCAGCCACAGCTGCACAGAGAAACCCTACCTCTTAAGAAAAGAAAAGAGAAGAGAAGAGAAGAGAAGAGAAGAGAAGAGAAGAGAAGAGAAGAGAAGAGAAGAGAAAAGAAAAGAAAAGACAGGAAGCAAGGAAGGAAGGAAGGGAGGGAGGGAGGGAGGGAGGAAGGAAGGAAGGAAGGAAGGAAAGAAGGGAGGAAGGAAGGAATGAAGGAAGGCAACAGCTGAGCAAGTCTAGTAAGCAGAGCTCTTCCAGGGCCTCTGCATCACTCCATTAAAGTGTGACCTGAGAACTGCATGCTGAAATAAACCCTTTTCTCCCCAAGTTGCTATCGATCATGTTTTGTCACATCAATAGAAACCCTAAGACAAGGCAAAACACTCATACATTTTTTTTCCAGTTTAAAAAATTCCCAACTCATTTACATGGCAGGAAAGCATAGAAAACCACAGTGGGAATGAATGGGTGGGGCTTCCTGAAGATTTCATTGCAAAAGCTATTTGAAGAACTTGGTCCTTGAGCTGAGTGTTGACCAAGACTTGACCAAAAGGCTGGCTCAAATGTAGGTCTCTTGGTTCTCTGTTTCACACCTGGGATGGAGTGTGTTGGCAAGGAGTGTGTCCAGAATGACCTGAGTTTTAGAACTGCTCTTGGCCCTGAGAGAGTATGCTATATCCACTGCTATTGGCATGGACTTTGAAGTGTGTGGTATATTGGGTTCAAAATTCAAGTTAAAAGGGGTATGGCTCAGTTGGTAGAGCTCACCTAGCATACAGGACACTCTGGCTTCCACCCCCAGCACCACATAAGTCAGGCATGGTGGTACACACCTATGATGGTTGAGGCAGGGATCAGAAGCTCATCTGCGGCTATAGGTGCAGTTTATAGCTAGTCTGGACTACATGAGTCCTCAAAAAGAGAAAGAAAGAACGAAAGAAAGAAAGAAAGAAAGAAAGAAAGAAAGAAAGAAAGAAAGAATCAGCATGGAAGAGATGGCTGCCAAGTCTGATGACCTGAGTTCAGTCCTAGGATCCGTAAGGTCGAAGGAGAGCACTAATTCCCGTAAGGTGTCCCCTGACTTTCACATGTGTGCTGTGTGTGCAGCTGTACCCCACAACACAATAAATACATTAAAAAACAAAACAGGTTGATTGAGCCGCGCCTGGTAGCCTTCTGGCCATTGCTCAACCCCCACCCCTCAGCCCAACCCCATGACTCAGCCTGAAGAGGCCCTAGAGTGTCCAGAGTGTGAAGAAGGAAATGCTTTCTGGAAGGGCACCCCTACCAAGAGTTGTGAGATGGTAAAGGGAAATGAGGGAAGAAACTGAGAGAAGAATCAGAGACAAGGTGTTGGGGTACTCAGAGAGAGGCTCCCTGAAACAGACATGCTCAGAGGCTGAGAGTCAAAGTTTCTAGACCATGGAGAATGGGTCTCCAAGAAAGGCACAGGGGGGTTGAGCCTCAAAGCCAGATCACCAAGGAACCTCCTCACAAAATGTATCCTGATTGGATAAGGATACATTTATCTTTATCTTGTGGTGCTGGGGACTGAACGTGGAGGCCCTGGTTTCTCCTGGACAAGGGCTGGACTGAGCCACACCCCCCGCTCCTGGTTTGTGGAGACTGTGTCCACACCCTAGAACTCAGCCTTTCTGTCTCAGCCTCCTGAATGCTGGGACTACCACTCCATGGCATCCAGCCAAACAAGTATCTTGGACTTGTGGTGGTGCATGCCTTTGATCTCAGCCCTTGACAGAGGCAGGAGGATCTCTATGAGCTCAAGGCTACCCTGTTTTACACAGTTCCAATGCAGCCAGGGCTATGTAGTGAGACCCTATCATAAAAAAAGTGGGGTCTTAGGAGGTGAAGGGACTCTGGTCGGTTTGAGCATGGCTCCGGCAGGCCTTGCCCTTCACCCCCATTCTCCATGCCTCACTAAAAACCATCAGAATACATTCCTAAATCTAAACACCAAGGTCTATTCCCTTATTTGGCCACTTTCTCCTCCTGAGGCTGACAACCAAGGTCCAGATATCAAAGTATTGAAGTCCAGCAATCAAAAGCTCCCATTGGTTCACTTAATTAGCACAACCAATTAAACACCTCACCCTAACATGGGGTTTTCCCTTGTTCTTTGATAGACCACCGTTTTCCTCTGTCTCCTCTCTATCCAAAAGAAGTTCTTTTTTCCACTCCAGGACAAATACCCCTCCTGCCTCTCCCTTGTTCCCTTCCCCTGCTATCTCATCTTCTGACTCCTGTCTTTGTCTCTTATTCCTTGCCCTCTGTCTCTGTGGTGCAAATAAATCCCCTTGCGCTGAGAAATTGGTCTTGGGGGTCCTGACAGGAGGTATTATGCTGATTTTCTCAGGGTGGAGACCCCAGTTTGAAAGTCGGGGACCCAGGCCTTTAAGATGGTGCAGAGGGTAAGGAAACTTGCTGCCAACTTTCAACATGAACCTGAGCTGGCTTCACATTTACAGAACATATTTGCTGTCCTCTGACCTCCCTGCATAGGCTCTCTCTTTCTCCTCTGCCTCCCTCCCTCTCTCCCTCTCCCCCTCTCTTTCCCCTTCCTTCCCTCCCTTTCCCCACCTCTCTTTCTCTCTCTCTCTCTCTCTCTCTCTCTCTCTCTCACACACACACACACTCATTATAAAAAGTAAAATCTGAGGACCCTGAAGGAAAATTGGGGGCACCAAGATCAGCCCCAGTCTTAAAGATTAGTGATAGGAATCTGCCAGGTTGGGGGGTCTGTACCGGATCAGTGCTCCTGCAGGCTCCAAATTCCCCAGCAGCAGCAGGCAGAGCAGCACCACTGGTGGCGACATCTCCAGGGGCTAAGACTTGGCCAAGATGTCCTGCGGCCCCTTTCTTCCCCTTGAGACTCCACCCTGTTCACGCCCCACTACCTACTGGAACACAGAAGTGATGTGTGTGTGTGTGTGTGTGTGTGTGTGTGTGTGTGTGTGTGTGTAGTCCCTCAGTAGCAGGAGGCACAGGGGCCAGGAACAGGCTGGTTAAGATGTGTGCTGAGTGTGTGTGCTGAGGTTCACTGGCTGCTTGGCTTGCACCTGTGGAAGAGAGGAGAGGGCAGACCCAACCCCCACCCCCTTCCTGCCACCTCTATGGCTTTTACTTTTGACTTTCAGTTCACTTTTCTGAGACTCATTAACCAAATTTTTTTCCCCCTTGGGCAAGAGTGAGGGACAGGAAAGATTTGAGAGGGGGCTGGGAAGGGACACTCAGGTACAATAGAGACATGCTGTCCTGTGTGGGTGTCTCAGCCGGACTCTCAGGATGCTCACCCTTTCTGTTCTTGCTCTGTTAGAGACTAGGCGCTTCCTCCTCTTTATACACTTTAATTGATTAATTAACTTATGTGTGTGTCCACAAACCCCAGCATGAATTCAAAGGTCAAAGGACACCTTGTCGGAGTCAGTTCTCTCCTTCCGTCAGGAGAGCCTCAGGAATCAAGCAGGCCAGCAGGCTTGGCGGCAAGTGCCTTTGCCTGCTGAGCCATCGCCACGGCCGCCTTTTTCTTTTGAAACAAGTAGCAACGAAATAATTTTATGGTTGGGGGTCACCACAACACGAGGAACTGCATTAAAGGGTCTCAAGGTTAGGAAGGCTGAGAACCACATGTCTAGAGTATCTGCGGACTGAAAAGGCATCCAGCAGGGCCGGGGAGGTGGCTTAGTGGGGAAAGCACTTGCAGCCTAAGTGTGAGGGCTTGGGTTCCATTTCCCACGCTCATAGAAAAGCTGGCCTGAGCTGCAGAACTATATATGGCAATTCCGGCACTGCAGAAGGCAGATCTATCCCAGGGGGCTTGTTGGCCATCCAGTCTAGCCAATCAGTGAGCTCCAGGCTGAGGGAGGGACCCTGACTCAACAACTAAGGTGGAGAGTGATAGAGGGAGACCCTGACACAGACCTATGGCCTCTGTATGCACATGCACAGGAGAGCTGCCTGTCACAGTAGTACACCCCTGTAATCCCAACAACTGGGAGGCAAAGGCAAGAGGATCAGGAGGTCAAGCTCATCTCTGGCGAAGTTGGATGTCAGCCTGTGCTAAATGAGAACCTGTCTCAAAAGAAAATTGGACCCCACCCCCTTAGCCACTCAGCCCCTCGCCACCTGTGGCAGATGGCAGAGCCGGGGCCCTGAGGTCACGAGAGTGGGAGAGCTGTCCCTGCCCCTCCCTGGCTGAGGCACTGCAGAGAGCAGGCCCTGCCCCTGGCCTGGGCAACAAGATAGAGCTGGCCGTGCTGGTGTGGACAAACGGAAAGCTGGACCCCGAGGGCAGGAGCACAAGAGAGCTGCCTCTGCTCCTTGCTGGCTGCAGCATTGGGTGAGCTGCCCAGGGCAGTCCTGGAGAGCTTGGCCTGGTGGCATGGATGTAAAAGAGCTGGTGGGCCGACCAGCTTAGCTACCGCCCAGGCCCAGATCCAGGCCTTTGAGTTGGCCCACCCCAATAGCTACCCCATCTATGAACTGCAGGAGCATGTGAAAGGACCAGCCCTGCAGATCCAAAGCTGCAGAATCTCCATGACACAGACAACAGGGCATCCTAGAGGAATCCCAGTGAGGACCCAGCACTGGTGGTACAGCAGAAGCCGGAGGCCTCAAACCAGACCAATGACTCAGTGCAATGAACACTGGCAAGTAAATTCTCAAGTGTGGGCCACAGGGTATACTGAAGCACATACTGTGACACATTATAGCTTCCGCAATGAGATTGTGTGTGTGTGTGTGTGGTAGGGAGAGGTTGCAAGGGTGGAGGACAGGTAGGGAGGGACAGAGAGATTAGTGGAATTGGGGCACATGATGTGAAATTCACAAAAAATAAAAAGTTAAATAAAAAATGAGGCAAATGCTTGTAATTACACGAATTGAAAGGCTGAGAGAGTAGAATCATGAGTTCAAGGCCTTTGTGTGAGAAAAGAGAGAAAAAGACAAAAAAAGGAAAAGCAAAAAGGGTGACAAGGAGGATGAGAGAAAAGGGAGGAATAAGAAAAGGAGAGAATCATATTTAGGGGCACAGTCCTGTCATCCCAGGTACTTGAAAGGCTAAGGCAGGAAGATGGCAAGTTCAAGGTTAGCCTTGGCTAAAGAGTGAGTTTAAGGCTAGCAGGGGCAACTCGGTGAGATCTAGTCTCAAAATTAAAAGCTACCGTTGAGAAGAGCTAAGTGTCTGATGCTTGCCTCTAATCCCAGCATTTGGAAGTAGAACTAGGTAGATTTCTATGAGTTCAAGGCCAGCCTGGTGTACATATCGAGTTCCAAGACAGCCAGGGCTACATAGTGAGACCCTGACTCAGAAAACAAACAAGAAAAATCAAATTTAAGAGATTAAAAAAGTGCCTGGAGAGATGACTCAGCAGTTAAGAGTATGTACTGTTCTTCCAGTGTAGACTGACAACATAACCACTCCAAGGTATGGTTAAGCAGAAAGTTTTGTTTTGTTTTGGTTCTTTGATACAGGGTTTCTCTGTGTAGCCCTGGATGTCCTAGGCTCACTGTGTAGACCAGGTTAGCCTCACACTCAGAGATCTGCCATTTCGAGTGCTGGCATTACAGGCATGTGCCACCTGGCCCAGCTAAGCAGAAAGTTTTTATTGTAGATATGATAGAAAACAGGCAGAAGCATCTTGGAAGAGTCCAGAGCAGAGAGAGAAAAATACACTAAATGTTAGCAGACAGGGCCTGGCCAGGAGAGAAGCAGGAGCAGAGCAGGGATGTTGTGGGGGATGATAACAGAGACAATGAAGGCAAATACGAAGATCAAGTGCAGCGGAAGTTTTGGTGTCTTTAAAAACTGTTATGTTATGTAAACAGGCTTTTGTTTTAATTACAGATATGGGACATGGACCTTATTCAGATTATCCACAGAAGCCGACTATTTGCTTTGTGTAGGCTCTGAGAGGGGCCCTTTGCCAGCTAAAGATAGTTTAATTCTGAGGACTCGGGGGAGGGAATAATGCCAGAGCCCAGAGAGAGAAAGGGGGTTCAGAGAAGAATGCTGCTGCTCCCCCTTCCCCCCTCCCCCGCTGCTCCTGGCTGCTGTTGATGCAGTGTGATGAGAAGAAGCTGGAGATCTCCTGAAAGGAAGATTGGACTTTCAACAAGGAACCCGACAACCCTAACCAGCAGGAAGTAGCCAAAGAGAACTATGCCCCTTTCCCTATTAACCTTCTTTCTCTCCTACCTGGTGTTGGGGTGTTGGAAGGGATTGGGGTGAAGAATAGAGGAAGAGGTATAAGAAACTACAACAAAATAAAATGCAGTATAAAAACTCGTGTCTATAATCAAGGGTGAGGATCGAGAAAGCGCGTGGCAGAAATAGCTGGGTTCTGAGGAGAAAGCAGCAGCTATGGGGAGGGGAGCTCCTGAGCTGGAGGAAGTTGGGGGGGGGGGAGCCGAGAAGAGTCAGGGTACCAGCACCAACACTGAGATGTGTAACAACTGTAGAGGGGAACTGGCTTTACACCTTCTTGAGGGATTCTGGCTTGTGTCTAACTACCAGAATTTGGGGAAATGGAGTTTGTTTTGGGCGTGATAGAGAGAACTGGGGTCATTTCTCAGCACCAAGGCAGCTCACAGCCTCTGTTAACTCTAGATCCAGGGGATCCAGTTCCCTTTTCTGGCCTCCAAGGGCAACAGACACATAGTGTACATACATACACGCAAGGGAACACTCATGCATATAAAATTAAACAAATATTAAAAATAATAACTAAAGAATGAAAGTATCGGCAGCATGCCCCCTGGAATCCACCAGTGGAGGGCTTGCTTAAGGGTCACAAGAGCCTAGACTCCTTCCTCAGAACCACAAAGAATAGAGCGAGAAGAGAGAGGGGGAGTGACGTCAGGGAAGGAAGACACGTAAATCTCACTGGGCTGGAATAAGGCCCCAACTACAATATTTGAGCCAAATTTGAAGCAAGCTTTATTAAATACTGGGCAGGTCACAGACACTGGCCAGGTCCAAACCCAGAATTCCCAGAGTATAGCTCCTAATTATGTTAGCCAGGGGCTTATAAAGGCAAAACCTACAATGCTACCTACTTCCCACCTTCGTCCATTCAGGAGCAAGCATACATCCTGAGCACTTCCTGCCTATGTGTAACTCAGCACATCCTGTGAAACTGGGGCAATCATACTTGCTTTCAGAAGTGAAAACACTGAGCTTGTTGTTGACGTATCTTGGAATGTAAATATTCCAAGCATTCTGGAATTCTCAACATCCCAGTAAGTTATCTGTCCTTGGGCAAGTAGGGTTTATAGGTTAGAGGCATTCTCTTTGTTTTATAGATCTCTTAAGCACAGTAATTTAAACTGAAAACAACTTTAACCGCCACACAGGGACTGGGAAGGGAAGAGGGAGACACTGAACATTAAATTTTGTTTCCCTTAGAAAAGCTGCATCAAGCCTGGCATGGTGGTGCAGGCCTTTAAATCCAGCACTCTAGAGGCAAGGGTAGGCGGCTGGAAGGCTAGCCTGGTCTACAGCGTGAAGCCCACAACCACCAGAGCCACTTAATGATAGCCAGTATAAAACAACAACAAAATCAATACATAAAAGAAAAGCTTTACCAAAAGCCTAGGTGGACTCAGGTCTTCAAGGACAGTTACTTGAACCTGTGCTAGGTTTTTTTTGGGGGGGGGGGCGGGGCAAGGCAGGGAGTCAGCCCCAGCCCTCCAGATTTCTGGTTCAGAGCACCATGGTGAAGAACAGCTTGATGGAGGGAAGGTAATCCATCAGGAGCTGCAAGCTACACAGAAAATGACGAAACACAGACGTTGCTCCACAGAGATGGGGGAGGGAGTGCGGCTGACTGCATTTCATTGGAGTTGGCCTGTTGCAGGTTGACACACAGGGCTACAGGGGTGAGCGGTTGGCGTGAACGCTTTCAGCGAAGCTGTTCGGAAGTCCGGGGGGCCTCAGGGACAGTCCCTTGTGAGATAATGACCTCAACGCTGCACAAAGGCTTCAAGAAACGGCATCTGAGGTGGATACAGCCTCCATGTGCCAGCAGGTGAACAAGGTTGGGCTTTTGTGTGTGACTAGGAGGGAAAGAGCAAGACAATGGCTGTGCCATCCTGCTCTGTCCCTGGGGCTACAAAAACCGGCAGAAAGTGAGTTGGGACTGTACGGTAAACGGGATGTGACTGTTAAGGGGTTGGTCTGGTGCTGTATGTAATTCAGATGCTAAATTCTGGGCCCCAAGATCTGGCTGCAGTCCAGACTAGTGCATTCTCATGCACACTGAACAATGGTGTGCAAACTTTGCTCCCCAATTATCTCTGATAGTTTCATGAAGAAAGGCTGGACAGCTTGTAACTGGGCAGAAGAGAGGCAGGCGGGGCTATGATTCCTGGGCTTGGGGTCCCAGGCAGGGACCATGAGACTGGGGGTAAGGAGGAGAGGAAGCTGTAGGGAAAGGACTAGGCCTGATGGAGCAGATCCAGCCCAGACAGGAGAAATATTGGCAAGTAACTTGGGGCGTGTGGCTGGGAAGTGGCCAGACTAGCTAAGAAAATCAGTATAAACAATACCTGCCCAGCTTCTGTGCTTAAATAAACCCTGACTAAACAGGTTTCTGTCACAAGCATTTGGGAGCTAGCCACACCAAATCAATACATTTACTACAATCGTTGGCACCCATTGTGGGGCACCAAATATTGTAGAACATTTATTGATTCTGGGGACTTTTTCTACCCTGAACCTTTCCAGTTCCTGAGCCTCCCGGAGCTTCCTACACTTTCTCAGCCATTTTGGTACTCGGTATCTTGGTCTCTTGGTCCTCTCTCTCCCTTCCTTCTCTTGCTCCCCCTGACCCCCATAGACTGGTTCCGGCTGCTGGCCTGGTTCAGTCTGGACCCTTCCAGATGCCTCTGGCAGTTCTCTCCCTCATATCTACGATAAACCTTTTCCTCAGCCGTACCTGGGGGCCGTCACAGCCTCATGTTTTCATTCAACAACCCTGACCACTCACCCCTGTCAACCTCATTCTGGGACCCTCACATCACTTTCCATCAGAGAACTTTGTGAAGTGTTGGCTGCAAATCATGATATGGCCACACGGTGGCAGCGTGGACCTGTATTTCTAAACGAGGTCCCGAGGTGGCCTTTTCTGCAGCGTCTTGGCCTTCAGCAAGGGAGGCAAGCTACCAGCCTCTGCAGCATCCCCGCTTTCCACCCTACCCAAGCTCAGAGATGGGAGTTCCTTCCTGTCTGGCAGTGTCGTCCAAGCTACCTGGGATGACCAAAAGCTACCAAGCTCTTCCTCATACAGCTGGGCTTGGGAGGACTCGGGATGGAACCCAGAAACAAGGGCATTCCAGATAGGGGTTCTCCCAATGAGCCACACCCCAGCCCCTCACTGGGGGGTTCTAGGCAGGGGCTCTTCCCCTGAGTTATAGCCAAAGCCTTCTTTTAACTTTTCATTGAATTGCCCAGCCTCACTTGAGCTTATTCTGCAAATTTGGCAGGCCTTGAACTGATGATCCTCCTGATCCTCAGTGAGTAGCTAGGATGTCCAAGTCTGCCTTCTCTGATCTTGTTGCATGCTCTCTTTCTCAAAGCCTCAACCGGTCCTAGCCTTAACTCAGTGTTTGAAGGCACTGGAATCATCCCTGCCTCAGTACCGTTGTCCAGGCTGCCCCTGCCTGCAGGGACTTTCTTTCCCCACACCGGCCATAGGTCATTCCCTCAGAAGTTTGGTGGATTTTACATTTTGGTGCTGGGGTCGGTCTACAGAACCTCCTGCCTGCTAAACAAACAATGTTGCTTCTGCCCCAGCCTATAGGACTCGATAAGCTGGGGAGGAACATTTTATTATGACATAGCTAGGAACAGATGGTGCCACTTGCTGGACTTTCAGCCTCACGACTGTGTACACATAATTTCAATGTCACATCTGCTGCATGCTTATGGGTTGTTCTTATCACAGGGCTGGAGTTCTGATCTCAGAAACCACTTCAGGTGACTCCAAAACGGCTGTAATCTCTGCCCCAACTTACCTGATGCCCTCTTGATGACTTTGCTGAGTTGTTGTTTATTTTTCCCATTTTTATGTATTAGTTATGCATGCGCACATGCATACGGCATCCATATGTCTCAGCATGTGCGTGGAGGTCAGAGGACAGTGCACGGCGGTCAGTTCTCCCCTGTCGCCCTCTGGGGCTCAGAGAGAAGGCTCAGGTTGTCAGCATTGTGCCCCAGCTGTCCGAGCAACTTTGCCAGCCCTTTACAACATGAAATTGGAGTTGGGACACTCAAGCTGCTTTTCTGTGTGTGTGATTTTCTTTCTGCTTCTTTTGCGCTTCCTCTGCAGAAAAGCAGCTTCCTCTGCTCACCTTGCTATTCTAGGGAATGAGGTTTTGTCAGTTCTAGAATAAAAAGTAAGACCAATTGCATACCAATCCTTCCTGTACTTGGGCTGTATACAACACACACACACACACACACACACACACACAGGCACCCGTATCTATTTTTACTATCATTTTCTTCATAGGGAGTCTCATGTAGCCCAGGCTGGCCTACAACTCACATTGTAGATGAACTCCTGATCTTTCTGCTTCTACTACCAGTGCTTTGGGATGGTAGATTGTGCCATCACACCTTACTTAAAACTATTTGGATTCTTGTTTGCCCTTTAACACACATATTACCAGGAAGAACAAATTAAAACTGCAGTGAAGTCTGACTTTGAATCCAGTGCAAGGTTAAGGTGAAAAGGATAACATGTGTTGGCCGCTGTGAGGAAATCAGAGCGACAACTCGCACCTGTTCAGGAGGGTGGGGCAGAAGGATCACTCGTTTCCTGGATCAGGGCCAGTTTATGCAATATAGCAAGATGCCATCCCAAAAAATTCGGGGCATTGTGGCGCACACCTTTAATCTCAACACCAAAGAGGCAGAGAAAGGAGGATCATGCCTTCAGAGCTGCCTTAGGCTTTTGAAAATACCATTTTTCACGTGTGCGGGGACCCCCTGCATGTGTGTAAGTGCTCTGCACATGCGCCGCTGCCTTCGCAGATCCGAAGAGGGCGTTGGCTCTCCCACGGCGGAGTTACAAAGGGCTGTGAGCTGCCGTGTGGGCGCTGGGAACTGAAGCCGGGTCTTCTGCAAACGCAGTCAATGCTCTTAACTGTTCAGCCATCTCTCCAAGTTCGGGCTTTAAGACCCTGTCGCAGAACAAAATAAAACAAATAACCCTTGTGTATCAGTGTTCACTGCTGTATTGTAGCTTTCAAAAGAAATTACCCAAAT